TACATTTTAACCAGCTTTTGTAAGACTGAAAGCTTACTGGTTGTCATTCATCTTCATATAAAACAAAGATACAAATTACTAAAAATTTTGAAGTGGTGTCTATACCTATGGACTCTGATGTGTACAGTGGCCTTAGGATGTTTTTTTAATGTTCTTACTGGTCTAACTGCAAGAAGTTCTAAAAAAATTTGCATAAAATATGCAATTAACAGATGAAAAAGACTTACAATTGGAAAGTTTCATTGTATTTTGGTGACCAGGTGTTGCTCTTTGTCTTGGTTCCATGTTTTCTTTTCTTATCACTTAGGTTAGGACCTAATATGCAAACTTCCACAAATGGCCGGAACATAGCTGTTGTTTGCCAGTTTAGATTATTAATTGCTACAACTATAAAGAAATAAAAGAAATGAAGTTAAATAAAATTCCATTGGAAGAGGTCAAATTAATTATCCGGTATGACTTTGTATAGCCAATGAAAGGTGACCTGAGAGCTTTCCTATAGGATACCAATACCTGGGCAAGCCTAGGAGGAGCTTTGCCTGTTCCCTGCCAAGTAAGATGTCTGACTACTTTCAGTTACAACAGTAGCAAATATAAACATATATTTTACAAATACTTTACATTAACAGCTCTTTTGTCTGCTGCCTTCACTGTAATTAAAATATCAGCTTATACGAATATAAATGATACTGTTTTTTCTCTGGAATTCAGGTTGTGCAGAACAAAGGCATTTTGTTAAAAATGGAACTTTTTAAGCCTTGGTGCAGTCATTCACCACCCAGTTTTGCTATATCATTTGGAAAATTTCATTATATGCAAGCAATTCAGAAGTCTAATTTGGCACGTTTGAATTTATAACTCCATAACTTCGTATAATAAATTTTAACTGTCTACACAGAGAAGCATAGACAGTACTTACCTGCATAATCTTAACTTCTGCTGATGTTGAGCAAGGAAAAAGTATGATCCTCATCACCTGAAGCATACTCATAGCTTTACAAGTACTGTAATACTTAACATTTGTTATTTCATTATTGGTATGTTTTACTTAGGATGTAGTGCTTGGGGATTTTGGACTTTGTTGTTGCTTTCTTTTTAAAACTAGCTATTTGAAACTTACCTTTTACAATGACTTTATGCTCACCAGTTCCAGGATGTGTAGAGACATCCACCTGTATAGATATCTCACCAACTGAATTATTAGTGGTTTGACCTGAAATAATAATCAGTAGGTTAGCACACTTGGCTTCTCAATACCTCAAGAGAAATAGACAGTGAAAGAAGGTGAGAGATATTTTCTGTCAGAAACACTTAGAAATTTCTGACGTATATTTCACATTTAAGTGGGAATCAGTTACAGATTCACAAGTGATTTTGCCACAAAAGTACCTGACAATTGCAAACATCTATGTAAACTGCCTCAGTAAAATATAAAACACCCCTTTCATCTGGAACCTTCCATCCTTGTTGTCATTAGGTGTGTTTGCATCTTGAAATGCAAAAGTTGGTGGTTTTGTCAAACTTTGTTTGCATGTGCACCCCAATTTAAAAAAAAAAAAATTGTTTGGAGTGCAAGGTGCTATGTAAAATTATTCTGTCCAGAAAAACGAGATTTTAAAAAAGGCGTCATTTTCATTATACAAACTGTGGTGTTTTTAATGCAGTTACATTTATCCCATTGTGTGAAAACTTGTGTGAAAACACCTTCCCTTGTATTTATGTGGACTACTTAACTTGAATTAAATGAAGACAACACCTTGTTTTTCACACCTAAAATTCAAAAGGCAGCTTACCCGGGCTAATACTCCAATACTATATATAATATATAGTTTTATATGGGTTATTCTCATTGGCTTTCTGGTGCTGTAAAGTAAATCAGAGAGAGTAGAAACTGGAGCTTCTAGAGCATTAATCTGTCTTGTTCTTTCATATTGTGAAATTCCACCTTTTCGAATTGTTACATACTGCACGGAATTAAACCGTAACAGGTTCTTTTTGTGGTGGTGGACCTTTTTATGAATGATGCTTTTGATTCCACATATAGCCATCTTTGGCTATGAAGTCTGAGTTGAACATACTGTAACTCTAAGTCACTAATCTTTTGTTCTGATTAAAAAGCTTTCATTGCCAAGCTGGACAGGAGAAGAGATCCAGGAATTTGCAACTTCTAAATCACAGGGACACTGAATGGGCAGGATAAGCTGAATGTACTGAGAGGGAGTATGAGAAGTTCTCAAACTCTCTCCCAATCGAAATTAATAATAATTTACCACTGACTGCAGTGGAAGGTGAGTCATGCTGATCCTGAATATCACTGAAAATTTCAGCCCGCATCAATTACTTGTTTTAGCCTTTAGCTTAAAAAAACCCAAACCAAAACCCCTTTAGGAAAAATCAGGAATGTTTTAAAAGAAAACAATTAGCATTTTCACTATATAGCTTATGCAGCAACCTGTGGGTGATGGTAATAACGGAGCGTGCTGTGTTAACCTGTAATAATGACACATTAGATCTTACCAAGACAAAATCTGTGAATCTACAGGATATGTCTTGTTCTGTTTCTCCAACTTTTTTATTAACTATACAAAGTATATCCTTGCAAAGGTCTCCTAACTGATCTTTTGCTTTCCTTTTCCTAGTAGTTGATAATTCACAACAGTGCTCTAAGCAGTACTGCAAATATATAGTGGGATTAGTCCTGTATGTATAGTACTGTTTGATACGGTTATAAAGAAATCTATGTAAAACGTCACACAGTTTTATACTGAAAACAGCTGACATTAAAATGACCCTACATTTCACTATTGCTGAGGAAACTTCCTGCAGCAGAATGTTTCAGCCGGCAGAGACAACTTCTAGTGGAGTCTAGAATATAAGCTTGGTTTCTTTCAGTTACCACCCCATCCATCTTGCATTTGCTTTC